CACAATGAGACAAAGCACTTGTGCATTGCCATNATCTAATCATCAAACGACGACTCTGTTTCCATGGGTTTTTGCTTGATAAGTGAAGAGTACGGCTTTGAAATTGGGTTTCACATTCAGTTTGTGGGATTCAAAGAATGAACATAGATGAAAAACCAGGCTGAGCAATGGCTGGGAGAAATCATTGTAGTTCACCATGACAATCTTCAAGTTGGCTCGTCAGATTTATGGCAGAAAAGGAGATGCTGGAAAGTGCAATCAATGGCATTTTAAATGTTGGCGGGGTATATGAATCGCCCTTCTGAGGTTTTGTCTTAGTCTTCGTCCTTTCTTCCAATCAACCACCCTTTGATCTCCGAGCCATTCGGAAAAAATAAAAAAAAAAATATAAAAATAAAATAAAAAAAAAAAAAAAAAAAAAAAAAAAAAAAAGGGAGAAAGAAAGAAAGGGAAAAAAAAAGAAAAAAAAAAGAACCGAACACTATCGGCTATGTTTCAGTGCGCAAGTGTGTCTGAACAATTCTTTCGCACACCTCGCCAGAATCGTTGTGGTAAGGTGATCTACACTACTCCCCAAGTGGTTGTCAAATGACCCTTGTCACTCGCCAGGGATGTCTCAACCGTCAGAGTCCGGGATGTGGGTGGAAGGAGGGGGACAAACAAACAAACACTCACACGGGACGGACCTTATCTATTATCCGCTAATGTACGAGTCTGGATTTGCACTGGGAAATAATCTGGAGGGGTTATGGGGGGACATGAAACGAAACAAACACACATCCAAAGCTTACCAGTCACCACAACCGGCGTCCGGATATGACCGTTTGGCGGGGTGCGGTGCACTAGCCGTCCGTGAAGCCTTCACAGTAGATTTCGTGGTCTGCTAGGATGTGCCATTGTTGATATGATTATGGGTGTGTCACTGGCCACAAAATCCGAGGGAGAACAATAACAATTTAGCTGAGAAGCGCCTCGTATCCTGGCCCTGATGTCTAGTTTTCCCTTTCTCGGAGAAAGGCTGGGGACGGACGAACTTTGTCGTTAGCCACGGAACTTATTTGACCGGCGCCCTTCTCAAACACTTGGTGGGCAATTGCCCACCGGCTCGACAAAAGTGCACAAAGCGAAGGCTGAAACACAGTCCCCTCAAGGGACACGTGAGGAGACGGCGGATAGGGCTGCGTAGCGTGACAGTTCGTCCGGTTTCTGATATAAAAGAACATGGGGGATGACGAGAACTTGGCATTGAGTGGGAGGCGAACGAGGGGTGATAAATATATCACAGAGGATAGGTAGAGGGCAAGGTGTGTGTTTGTGTGTAGAACACTACTACCTTTTAGCGCATGGGATTCTTCGTTGTGTTATTCCGATGATCGACGCGGCGGTTGTAGCTTCATGCGGCGCATAAAAGAGCAAGGGGGTTTGACGATGAGATCGGACCCCCATGCAGCGCTTAGTTTACACCATGATGTATTCGGTCGGATCTTCGTGTTTCGCTCGCGAATGGGAATTTGGCGTATCTTGAAAACGCCATCCCCATCAACGTGAGACAAAGAATGATTTCGTTTTGTTTAGAAGAAAGGGTTTGATACGTATACCTCTCGATATCAAATACCTGGAAGCGCGGGCGGCTAGGCGGCTATTTCAACCAACGAGGTGCTCCGAAGGGAAGCGCATTGATCTCCTTCGGCCTTGAAACAAAGCGGAGTTTCCATGGTCACGTTCGCTGCGAGTCAACACGTTCTGGAAGAGCTCTGGGGGACAGCCGCCGGAGAATCGTAGAGAACAAAATAATCAGGCTAGGCTCGGGCTGTCAGGAACCTACGGCAAGTCGTCGTTTGTATTCTTGCATCTTGCTGGGTGTAACGACTTGGAGTTGCCCACGGAGCGAGACAAGAAAAAAGATTTGGACTGGAGCAAGCCACGCGGACGTGGCGGAGGATCAATGATGACGAGGATAGACAAGGTGGGGCGTATGGGCTCCAACCCGGACCCGACCCTTGATGTCACGCTTGACGCCGCCCCACTACATCTTGGCTCTGCGGCTGTCGGCCATGGTGGGCAAGCGACGACCAACCAAACTGACAGCGTGCCTGCATTTTCAGAACAGACTAGCGCATCTCCACACCAAACGGTTCGTCGACGATGATCGGGAAGCAACGACATGGCAGATGGGCTCCAACGAACTTGTAACAGCTTGGGCAGTTGCACCACTTTGATCTGATTTCCATCCATTCATCTCTTTCTTGTCTGTGAACCACGTCGCATCCATCGGCCACCATGATCCAGTGAGCAAGTCCAGCCCCAGGGGCCAGTCGGTGGCTTGTGGGCTCCGTCCTTTCAGTTTCGTTTCAATGTGCCAGCCGCCAGTGGGTAATGGGCAATGGCTGGCTTGATGGTATGGACAATCAGGGCAATACGTAGTATGACTAGGTAGAGGTAGGTAGGTACCTCTAGGTATGCCGCGCGCAACAAGGTCATTTGTAAAGAGGAAGGACGGGAAGGGTGCTTTACACGGGTTGGCCTGGGACTGCATCCGTCCGTCTTTACACCATTCTCTCGTGACGCACTCCCCGCGCGTACACAAGCTCCTTCTCATTTCGGACCCCCGAGGTTTCAAGTGTTACGCATCCCGCCGTGCTACCGAATTTTGGTGTGTGTTCTGCTGGTGGCATCTAGATGCTGCTACATTCTTTTTCTACTCTCCCGTGTCGTCCAATATAACGTCCCAAGGACGAGCATCACGCATCCACCACCGTTACCCAGGTTTGCGTGATACTCTTTTCTTATTCACGGTCACCTCGGCTCTCACAATCCGTCTGATCATCGTTCGCACTCCTCATCATCTCGGTCCTTAGTCCTTAGTCTTCAACCCCCCCTGCATTGGCCTCGTGGGCTGGATCGACAAGAAGGCTGGTTCCAACTTCGAAAACTACGGTTCCAACAACAAGAATTATCTTCCTTTGACGACGGCAGCAAGTGAACAACACCAGGCCTTGGTCACTACCGTCTCGATAGTTTTCTCGACTCGACTCGAGCAGATTCTGCAGCCGCCGCCTTTGCTTGACGCTCGTTCCGACTTTTCTTTGACCCACCCGTCACGCGCCTGGGCCGGTGGACAATTTCATTATCGACCCGGCGCACCTGCCTCCTTCTTTATTGTGTTTCGTCGATAAAAGTCCCTTCGATTTCCCCACGACTTCAGGAACCCGTCACAATGGCCTATTGAAGAAGCACACACCAAATACAATAGGAGTCACCCCGCTCGTTCTCCATTCTTGTACCCATGCTGGTCATATTATACGCTGGACGTCGAACCAATTTAGACCTCGATTCTCTTCTTCTCCCAACGCCGATAGTGTTGCAGCACTCGCTTTCTGAAGCCGATTTCCTTCCTGCCTCTCACTCTTTTCGATAAACAACAAATTTTACAGCAACATCAGGCCTTGTCTCTGGAGACAGCACGCCATGAAGACATTTTCACTGAAAGACACTCGGGGCCTTCTGGTTGCCGCTCTTTTTGCCATGGCCCAACTTTCAGCAGGACATTCCTGGCCCGAACAAGTGAGGCGCATCGCACCAAACGGCACCTTGGTCGGACCACTGGGTTACTCGAGGGCTTACAAACCTGGGGACAATCAGTACATGCTTCTTGACAAACTCGATTCTGCTCTCCTTTATTTCCCAGACAGGGCAGTCCTCACTGATCAAAGCTACAATGTCGACTATGCAATGCCAAAGGCTGCCCCAGGAGATTGGGTAGCTGTCCAATACAATGAGAACGGCCACGTTTCGCTCGCAGAAGCACCCAATATCGGGAGGAACTCACCTGTAAATCGGGGTACCATCTACCTATATGGCACGACCAACAACGACCTAGCCGATGTCCGCTTCGCTGATGTTCACCTCAAATGGACGGCTGATGGCACCGGCGGCGATAAGAAGGGAAGGCTCTTGGCTACCAGGCACTTTGACGACGGTCAATGTCGTGAGCCCGTCGACAAAACATCTGGCGACCCCACAGGCATCAAAGCTTTCCGCCGGGCCAATTACAAGATTCCGCCCACAATGGGAGATCGCCTCATGTGTTAGTCGGACATCAAGCTCCCGGCCGACCTCAAAATTGGACAAGTGTACACAATCATCTGGGTCTGGGACTGGCCACAAACGCACAAGCGGGGCGTCGCCGTCTCTCCTTATACCTTCATCGAGGAGTACAAAGACCCTATAGTGTCAGTTCCCGAAATTTATACCGGAGTTGTCGATATCGAGATTGTCAACCCGTGCGACGAAAGCCTTGGTGAAGTTAAGGGTCCTGGATGCAAAAAAGGGGGCGAGAGTGACGTGCAGTTTGTGGAAACGGACTCCAGCAAAGCTGCTATCCGATCACAGATGGCGAATCTTTTCATGGTCAAGGTCCCGCAGAAAGGGAAGGCCGCGAAAGCTGGCGTTGACTACAACGAAGCTGATATCCCAATGGCTGGTTTGATTGGGGTAGAGGTAGTACCGATTCCCATTTCCAACGATATTCAGGCTAGAAACATGGCCCGACAAAAGAGCATGGCTGTAGGAGGTAACCTTAATGCTCCTTCTGCAACCCAATCTGGAAGCCCTCTCGCCGGCGGAGTATTTCTAAGCGCCTCCTCTTCGACCGCTCCCACTCCGTCAGCATCATCTACGCCTGTTTCATCGGCATCTGAAGCATCAAACTCGGCCCCTACTTCGATACCAGCCACTGTATCTCATCAATCCAGTGTGTCCGCACCGGCTAGCACCAACATCCCGACTGAAAAAAGCGGCCAAATTCCCGTCGCCGGAAATACCAAGTTTGTGAAGGTTACGCAGACCATCACCATACCCGCATCTACCGTCTACGTAACCGAGACTACCCAGACTGCTATTATGACTGCGACCATCCACGAGACCGCATACAACCAGACCACGAGCGTTGCCAGATTCCGTCGCGGAAGAGGCCAATGGGGCTTTGTTAGCAGGAATTGAAGTCCGTTGCCAGATCACGACAATGGCACACTGTTCGTAACGTTAGCGGGAAAAACGCGGCCCGTTGTGGGCAACAAGCCAACCTTTCGTGTCCTTCATCTGCCCTTTGATTACAGTTTTGAACAAGGGCATTGTTCGCGCAGAATACCATTCAAATTCAGGAAAGAAAACCAGTGCTTCATTAGGACTAGTCCACGCACTCCTTCACATTCCATTTTTTACGAGGAAAAAACATTCTGGCGTTTTGGTTCAGACGGGATATTCATGAAGCATGGCATTGTTGCATGGCTGGTCGGCCGGATTTGACGAAACAAGAGAAAAGAGAGATCTGAAAAAGAGGGCAACCTCGCTTAGGCATAAGTTGAGTCGAGCTTTTGGTGGGATTGAGCTGCCATGTAAGGGGAGGAATGAACTTTGCATTGGATCATGATGATGATGATCAGGAGGATGATAGGACAGGAGTTGTAAAAGTTAGGAAGTCGAGGGAGAGGCCAAAGGATCTTGCGGGTTCGGGATCTTTTTTTTTTTTCCGGTTTTTCTCCGTTTTTCAAGGTCAAATCACATTACTTCTCTTCTTCTTCTTGTTATGTTAAGATACCGCATACCAAATTTTTATCTGGCTTTCCATTCTCGCCGTTCTCTTTGAAACAAAAAAGCAGGATAGAGTCACTCGCCTTCCTGATGGGTAAGTATGTTATTCGTATACTTTCTTCTTCTTCCTCTATTTCTCATGGGCTTCATACTACTGTGTAGCTATGCGTCTTGCTTTGCTGTAGACTCCGAATCTCAAATGCTTTCGGGCCTGTATTATTCTACTTGGACTCTGTTTCTGTGTTCTGGCTTGGGTTGAGTGTTATCATGTATGAGATGATGATGATGATGATGATCTGGTCATGGGATTTGAAAATTGACAAGCTAAGTCCACGAGTAATATACTATCTGACATGGTAATCCCTGGGTATTGATATCATTGTCTATCTCCGTATTCCGGCCCTACCATCTTCATCCCAAACGGTGCTTTTGTGATCGCCAAGGAGCAATCACCGCCCATACCATCAGCCCATCCAATCACCTGTTTCCAAATCCCCAACTCCCCTTTTTACATCTCACCACACTGAGCAATCACCACATCCAGGTTTGGCACGTCCTTACCGCGGTATCCAGTCTTGGTGTTCTCCATCTTCTTGACGACATCCATTCCATCCACGACTTTACCAAACACGACGTGCTTGCCGTCCAGGAAGGGGGTCGGGACCGTAGTGATGAAGAATTGCGAGCCGTTTGTGTTTGGGCCGGCGTTCTTTCCGTTCGATTCAGTCAGTTTCTTTTTTTACCCTGGGTGGATATGTGATGAGGTAGGTAGATGGTATATAGAGGGAGGAAGACAGAGGGTAAGCGTGGAAGGAGAGAGAGAGAGGAACGTGTGTAGGGAAAAAGGAGTGTATGGAAAGAAGAGGAAGGAAAAGACTACTCACAGCCATAGAAAGCAACCCAGGCGTATCATGCTTCAGCAAGAAATTCTCGTCCGCAAAGCTCTTGGTGCCGTAGATGCAAGTTGAGCCGGTGCCATCGCCGTTGAGAAAGTCACCGCCTTGGCACATGAAGTTGGGGATCTGGTTTTTTTCTTTCCGTTAACATTCACCACCGGCCCACGTTTTTTTTTTTTCCCCCATCTTTCCCACGAGGACAGACACAATATGAAGAGGAAAGAACAGAATGAAAGAGGGGACATACAATCCGATGGAACTTGCTCCCCTTATACCCCTGCGGCCGACCGAGGTTGTTCTTGCTCTCGCCCGTGCAGAACTGCCGGAAGTTCTCGGCCGTCTTGGGGACTACGTCCTTGAAGAGCTCGAAGGTGATGCGGCCGAGGGGCTCGCCGCCGAGGGTGATGTCGAAGAAGACTCTATTTATGTTGTTGAGTTAGTTTACAGGAAATGGATTGTTAAATTTCTGGTATGACAAGACTTCTGATGGTGCGTGATGATTGTAGATATCGAGGAAGGTGGTCGAGTGGAGGTGTAGAAGTGTAATGTAAACTCTGGGGTTGTTGGTGCAGTGGTGATGGAAACAAGGTGTGGAAATGAGCTGCTTTGGAGTTCAAGCATAAAGGATGGGCGCGGCTCGGAAATGGGGGTAAATCCGTTCATGGATGACAAGTTCATCTGAAAACCAAACAACATTCGTTGAAAACGGCAGAAAGTAGGTGTTGTGAAATATGAAACATGTTCGCGGAGGATGATAACACGGAAGCTTGTTGAAGACTTCAACTTGACGAAGGAGAGACGGGAGGTACATGGGTACTTGATACAGCGCAGGTGCTAACGATCACAACAATAGCCGGGACTTACAGCGGGTTGCCAGAGGCAGGGAGAACGGTGGGTGCCATCTTTTCGGGCTTATTTTCTTGACTTGATCTGAAAAGTTCAACTCGGGGTAGTTCGACTACTATTCGTCGTCGAAATTCCAACTTGGCTGATTTCTTGGGTAGCGCGTGCGAATTTGGGTTTGTTATCGTCGCCGACTGGTGGTTTCGATGTTGTTTAAGACCACATGGAGTTTTGCGAGGGAGAGCTCGAGTGTTCTACGCAATCCCAGGTGCCCCGGTATTCTCGAGTTGTCTGACAGGTGGTTGGCAGCTTTCACCAGCTGTCAGTATTTGACGTTATGTAGGAGGCTGCTGTGACTTCTAGCCATCTCTCTTCCGACACTCGAAAGGTACCAGCTATGGCATAGTGTTATGAATTCATTCGACCGTTTCTCAATTTTGGTTAGAGAGATGGTCTGTCAATCACCGCCCATCAAGCCTTCTTATGTCATAATCCTGACTTTTACAGCTCCTTCCAAAACTAGAACAAAACCGCCCAAAACCTCGGAGTTCTCAACTTGGACTGGGATGGACGGTCGACCTCAGACTTGTGTAAATGTTTCGATTTTGAGTGTTACAGGTGGCAATGTATCGAGAGACGGGACAAGGGCAATACAACTGTCGTGGCACTTTCACTGCGTATTTCGAGTACAAGATGTAACCTGCAGCTACAAGTCGTAGCTATAATGTAAGTTGATGCGATTGGATCTTGACTTGACCAAGTCCGACGCCTGAAAGTCAAGCTCGTGAATCAAGTACTAATAATGGACTACCGTCCCCCTTGGGGAGGAGTCAATGCCGTAGATCGCATACCACAATGAGAACAAATTGTACAAAATTATACACGTAGCGGTGTCGGCATAGGGGCCTGACGAAATTTTAATATAATTTCTAAAGCTGTCCGGAATTCGCACCTAGGTATTTGAAGACCATACCTCGCCAATCTCTAGAAATACCCATCTGACTTTATTCCCTCCAAAACTCTTCGTACCTTCCATTCCCACTACTTCCCTGCTCATCACAAAATTATAATGTCCTTCCTCCTGGACGCCCTTTTCCTGTCCCTTCTATCCCCTCAGCCATGTACTAACGATGCCAACTTTTCCCCATTCAGACCATGGTGTACCCATATGTGATGATAGCTAGTCTAATTCCACGTCGCGTCAAGTAAAGCCTGCCTTTATAGAGGCAACTAAAGAGAAGTAGGAGGGTTATTTCTCGCCAGATGCCACCCCCCTAGTATTATCATCATACCGGCATGGGTTAAGAGGGTATGTATGGCCTGAGAAAAACTCGCTGCCAATCACGAATTCAAGCCCATGAACAGCTACGCAGCTGGTAGCTAATTAAGAAGACCCATGTCCCCGTCTGAAGGGCAACATGGGCATCTTTTACCACTCATATTCCCCATTGGCCTTATGGAAGACATATTCCTTGCCGTTGACAGTCAAGACGCCATCCTTAAGGGTGCACTTCCTATAGAGATTGTTAGTAGCTGCTTCCTCGACTCGTATCACACTTTCATGAAAGAGATGCTTACCACTTATTCTTGACACGCTGCACCTTGTCATACAAGCAGAGCATGATCCAGCCACTAGCCTCATCCTCTTCGTCGTCGTCATCCCTTTCATCCTCAGGGTCATCAAGATCCGAGTTGATGGCATCTTCGTCAAATTCGTCATCGTCCTCATCATTTCCATCAAGCTGATTCGGACCACCGGCGGCGGCGGCACGGCGACTCTTGGTGGCGTTACTCCTCTGCTTGGTGGCTTCCTTCAACGGAAGCATCAGGCCGCCTCCTTCCCTCTGTTTGGCTCTTTCTAGAAGCTGGGCGTGAAGCAGGTTGTCGATCTCGACGCGACCCATCTCGACCGGATTGCCATCCGCATCGCGACGCATCATGACACCGTCAAATCCGTCGCTGGAGCCATCTACCTGCGCTCCACCGAGACCGTTCTGCTGGTTGGGAGGCTGCGGCTGTCCAGGCTGCCCAGGCTGCTGTGGTATGCGCTGCTGCATCTGAGCGGCAACAGTCTGCTGGTATTGCTGCTGTGGGCTAAACTGCTGCTGCTGCTGCTGTTGCTGTTGTTGGAGTGGTGGTGGTGGTGCCTGTCCGGGAATCTGAGGCTGTTGAGTTTGCTGGTGAATAGCGTTGATGGAAGCCTGGGCCTGCGATCCGTACCGATTTGCGATGGCTTGGGCAGCCCGCTGGGCAGCCATACCACCACGAGCAGCGTTGTTTCCAGGGTAGGCGGGATGCATCATGGGCTGCATAGTGCCCGGTTCTTGCTTGATGGTAGGCTCATTCGCCATGCCTGGTTCACTCTTGATAGCGACGCCATTGCCGTTGGGCTGGCCGCCAGGAAGAGACGGGGACTGAGCGGCCGTTTGTGGACTCAGGGTCGACTGAGTGTAGTTGGCCGTTGGTTGCTGGGTAGCAGCCGCCTGCGCATTAACGGCAGAAGAAGTGTTCTGCGTGGCCTGCGCCGGCGGTGGTGCTTCAGGCTTGGGGTCCCAAGGAAACTGAGCAATGTTGAGCTGGGACAGCTTGTGTTGCCATCCCTATCAAGACACGTTAGTTACATGTTACCAGCAAGGAAAAGGCAGTGCTAGTTTCTGCTGTGTCATGGAATAGGGTGCTCGTGCTTTTGGGGATACAGAAGACGAAACACTATGGATGCTGTACAAAAAGAGTTCATATTCATGCGCTCGGGCGGCTTGGGGCTGACTGGCCGTGATGGCCACCAGCAAGCGGCACGTGCTGCTGCACTTGGATGGTCCAATCGGAAGCGACGTCATGGGAGAGGGGAAGCCTGACTGGGAACTTAAAAAGAGACCCAAAAGGCCCTGGGTCGCCCGCCCCCGAATACTGCCTGCTCCTCCACCCTCTCTTTGCGCTGCGGAGGCCAAGGTCGCCGCAGAGGGAGCCAACGTCGAGAAACCGACACTTGTCGTCGACACAACGAGTGTAGCACTGACGCTGGAGCTTGCTCGCTCATCGAAATGAATGCAGAATAGTATAGGGCATAAAAAAACGACAAAACACAACACCGGGAATCGACATTGTGGGAAGGAAAGATGCGACGCGGATGAGGGAAGGACGGGGAAAGTCAAAAATGGTTCACCTTTTTTAGTTCTTCCAGAACACTATCGTCGACACCATTCTCTTCGAAGTCGACGCGCACAGCGTTGATCACCTCGTTGATGATGTGCTCGTAAACGGTACCGACAGCCGCGTTGGACATGGTGACTGACTGATTAGAGCGGAGGTGATGGACGGATGTGCGTATTGAGTGCTGGCTGATTGGGTGAGGCTTGCGTGCCTGCTGTTGACGATGCCTTCCTGAGGCGAGGGGATGGACAAGAGCTAATTGCCTGTTTGCGTGGGTTGACGTTTGCGGCTGCTCGACTGACGGGGACACAAGAGCCTCCAGTTGATACTATGATGCTTGTCTTATTCTTCCACACGATGACGGGGACGCGTTTATGTCAGCAAACCGAACGCCCTGCTTGCTGCTGTTCTCTCCTTCTACGCCGTCGTCTCTCAGCGCGGACTCAAAAAAGACAGTTGGCGATATTTTTGTTGGAATCCCAAAGGTCGCGTGTGTGACGAGAGAGATCTGCCTAGATGTTATGTTGTGTGTGGAGTTGGCGTGAGTGAGTGTGAGGTGGTCGGGGACTCGTGGGTTGTGCGGATCCAACGATGCGAGAAGTCGCCGCCTTTTTGAGAGGTTCTCGTCCTTGAAACCTGCGCTCGGTACTTCTTCTTCTTCTTCCACCTTCTCACGCTTTCTGAGCCGCCGTCAGACTGCACTCTAGGAACTCTTTCGTAGTGAATTGTATTACTAGTTGGTAAGGCGCAATATCCAGAAGTGCTCGGCAGTGTTGCAACAGCGTGGATGTGCTGTCTTGATTCACGAGCGGATGGCGCTTCAGTAGGTGTGGTGAAATGGGTAAGTTTAGACTGTCCTGCCATTCCCGCTTTGAAGTTTCCCTGGCCACCCCCCTGCTTAGTCAGCCGGCCGCCAACCTGAACAGCCGGAGCCGCGGCTACTGCCACTGCCGGTCTGACGGCAACGCGCCCGCAGTGACTGACTACCCTGTACGCTGAAAGCTTGAGGTTGCGCCCTGCAACAGTTCAGCCCTGCAACCCTGCAGCCCTGCAATCCCACTCCGTCATAACGGCCCGAGGACGGGATACCTAGAAGCGAACAACATGCCCCCTGGGTTGTCAGGTACAGAGCACCTGGTGAATCGCTTCATTCCACAATTTGATATGGGATCAAATCTCTTCACCTGCGCAAATCGTTTACACTGTTGGCTCGTGTAAACACCGGCAGTGAAGCCGCAATTCAACCCACAGTCCGATACAATCCATTCATTGCTCATGACGTCCCGCTGGTGATGTACCATTTTTCTTTTTTCTCGACTCTAGTGATACTACATATTCCTATGCCATACAAACTTGAACAGTTCATAGAAGCAAGGTTCTGAACAATTACCGTACAATACCGATCTGACATGATCAGGTACAGATGGAGTATGTAACTTTTGATACCAATTTTCTTGTCATCATAACTTCGTGATCCAGCCAAAATCCTTCCATGCATGTGCCCGCTTCACCCAATGGCCTCGTGCAGGCCGGGCTAGGAACCAAAGCTGTCAAACCCTCCAAAACGCCGTGCTGAAACGACCAAGTAACCCGAGAAAACAAAGCAACCGCTGCCAACCCAAGCTGACGTCGTTATATAAACAGTAAAAGCGCTTAGCGGATTGTCATCTGCTTCGCCATGGTCGCCTTCGAAGATGTGCCAGCGCCGCTGATACCAGCACCAGAGCCAGCCTTCTTCTCAAAGATCTTCCAGAACTTCAAACTTTCGTCGGCGGCTAGTAATCCCGGTCAGTATGAGCTTCAATCAGCTATTTTCACACAGACTTCACTTACCAGCTGTGGCGAGCATCTGCCCATCGGGACTAAGACAGCTATGGAGGACTCGGCTCTCATGAGCAGGAATCTCAACATTGCGGACCAGAGTGGGGTAACTCCAGATGCTGAGCGAATTATCCGGGTAACCGCTGGAGCTCACGATTTCGCGATAGTGAGGGCTCCATCGGAGACTGGTGACCTGGGAGCCCGTGTCGATGCTGTTGACGCGTGCACCGGAAGTGGTGTTCCAGAAATGAATGTGACGATCGTAGGCACCTCCACCAGTGGCTAACAGATTGATGTTCCAAGGGCACCAGGCGAGAGCCTTGACGGCAGCTTTATGGTTGGTCTTGGTGAACTTTGGAACAGCAAGGGACCGGGCATCCCAAATCGATACAAGATTGTCGTTTCCGCCGGTAGCAAGCTGGGCGCCATCAGACCGCCACTCGAGGCCGCAAACCTCCGATGTATGCGAAACCAGTTCAGCCACCTTGTGCTCGGCGATACGGACATCATGGTTGAACACCAAACCGCTTCGTGCACCTGTCGATAAAAGATGCTTGCTCCAGCCCATAACACCAACTCGACTGTCATGACCAAACATGCTGCGGATCTTGATGCCTTCGGCAACATCCCAGATCTGGACCTCACCGGTGCCGAGTCCCACGCCCACGTATGCTCCATCACCGGACCACTTGACACTGCTCACGTACGTGTCAGGAGAAGTTTCCAGCAGGCAGTTGACAGACCCCTCATCAGCCGACCAGACATAGACGTTCCGTTCCAGGCCAATGGCGACCTGGTTGCCCGAGCTCCAGTCCAATAGGTTAAGGTAGTAGTCGTCAATCAGACCAGGAGCATCAAGGACACGCTCAGGAGCTGTAGCGACGCGGCGTCGGAATTGTGCTGACGAGTTGGCGGCCTTCAAAGGGCGATTGTATTGCTGGCGGAGATCGATGGGTTTGGAGGACTCGGGAGGAGCTGGTTTAAACTGCAAAATTCGAGTGTTGACGTTCATTCCGCAGGCATTAGCCAATGAGTCTTGATACGCGACGGTGTTGGGAGATGGCCGGGCGTATGTCTCGGCCTCATCGTCATCGAGGAGCAGGGAATCGAATTCAAGCTGCTCAGTAGCATCATCTGCAGGAGTGGCGAGGGCTGTCGAGTTGGACGATTCGCCGTTCCTGGACTTTGGCCGCTTCTGATCCCGCATGTTAAGCTTTCCGGAACCACCATTGGCAATAGCCGAGCTTGAGCCTCGGTTGGGGATGAAGCGATCGGCATTGAGAGTAACGGTCGTCTTGATCGGCTTTGCCTTGATCTTGGTCTTCTTCGGCTTCGGGGTAGGTGCTGTCTGAGTTTGTTCCTGCGCCTGAGCGCCAGTGCCGGTGAGAGTGAACTCGGATACACCAAGCTCGAGAGCTTTCTTGGGAGTCGACGCTCCGCGAGCAATATTGGACTTGGGCGAGTCCCAGTTGGTCTTGGTTGAGGCCGCTCGTGCAAGCTGCGAGCTAATGTTACCAGGGTAGACCGTCTTGGAAGGTGCTCGCTGGCCATCGTTGCTTGTCTTGTCCTTGTTAAAAGGGGAAGAGTTGACGTTCGCATTATGATGAGGAGAAGGGGTCAAGGGCACACGGCCGCCGGCGGTGCGACTCGAGAAAAGACCCGTATGGGACTTCTTAGGTGTCGTGACTGATGGAGTAGCCATGTTTGTTACTGTGACCATAAAACAGTAGGTATGTACCACTATGTCAACAAGCCATAGTTAGCATACTGAGCAACACATAGAGGTAGATTTCCACAAGGTGATGGTGCTTACCGTTTAGGGGGGTTGAAGGTGTCGAGGAGTTCCGATTAACCGAAAGAGCTCCAAGAGACTCAAGTTAATGGCTCCTGGAAGGTTAGTACGTTCTGATTGCGGATGATCGGCTAAGTCGGAGGGTTCCTTGGACGAGATACGTCTCAAAGTCGGCGGGTCGATCAATTGACTGCAACAGCAAGCTGATCTAATGGACTTGAGGAAGTCTGCGTTCAAGGGTATGGCGCGCTGCAAAGTTTTGTCTTGATGGTATGATTGCTTTATGCGAATAGTTGCAAGGAAGAAGCAGAAGCTTGAGGAGAGCAATCAAAGGAGACGGGCCAAGAGGCGCAGAAGTGGTTTTCTTGCAGCGTGGAAATGTGGTTGTGATGGATTGGAAGGAGAAGGCGGGCCGAAGATTAGTTTACTTTCAAAAGGACGACCTGTTTTGTCTGCACAACGTGGTTGCCATGGTAACGAGTGGCAGCTGGCGGGCTGCCACCCAACGCTTGGACAAAAGGCGGTAGCAGCACACGCTCCGCAAGGCCCTCCGCCGCAGCCATTCTTGGCAAGATTCCACTTCACGACCCGCCGCAGGCATCTCCAGGCCCACCTCCCTTTGAACCAACCCCATCAAGGTGGATCCATTCAAAACGTCGTGCCCCCCAGGCCCGGTACATCCTGGTATCCACTGCCCGTGCCAGGCCCGCTCGCTCCAGGTCGTCCCGTCCTCCAGAAGGACCACGGTGGAGTTCAGTTCCGTTTCCTGATTGCCGCGTTGCGCTACCCTGCGCATGATCCTGTCGTCGACGACAAGCACGAGCCGGCCAGCATGGATCGATTGAACTGAATGAACACCACACAACCTCGCCTGCCTGCGATTCATATTCATTTTTAACGAATAGGTATTACCCTGCCATTAGTCACGAGACCAGTGTCGCCGTTTCTCGACCTTTCGACTGCTCCAAGGACGAAACGACCAAGCCAACTTTTGGGCGCCATACTTAGCATGTGGGATTAGGTCAACTGCGACAATCAAACGCTTCACGCTTCATGCTCCATGCTTGAAAAGCGCGACGGTCCACGAAAGCATCCGTCAGATAATCAACCTCCAAGACAGGCAACAGGCCGACAGGTGCCAAGGAATCCGCAGCTATGGCGCACCCTTCGACGCCCGCAGGACACTCTCCCTCCATCTTTGGAGGACCAACCCCAGTCATGTCCGGCGCTGGACAACCTTCGATCCCCTCCTCGTCCATGACGACTTCAACTCTCACACCAGCCTCGGCTGCCTCTTCCAACAATACCTACATTATGCCAAACTCTCCCTTCAAAAACCGTGGTGATGGGTACCGTCCCAAAGTTACACGGACTCTCGGACAGCGTCCTGCCTGTCTTGTCAACGCATCCGTCACCTACTGCGGCAACAACCAAATCTACGCTTTCGGCGGTTTCGATCAATACACAGACGAGGTCTACAATCATGTGCTGAGACTGGACCTGGTCAGTCATCAATGGAGCCTAGTTGACAACTATGGCGACATTCCCGGTGTTCGAATGGGTTAGTGTTACTTAGTCCCATAATGTCTTCTATATCTTGCTGTTTCTCCTCTTCTTGAACCTAGTTGACTTATCTCTTCGGTAGGCCATACTGCGACCCTGTATAAGGGAGACAAACTCTTGGTGTTTGGTGGCGAAAACGAACACAGAACCTATCTATCCGACCTCATAATCTTCGATCTCAAAACCGCACACTGGACCCAGCCACAAGTGACAGGACCAATTCCCAAAGGTCGCGCAAGACATGCGGCCGTTCTACACCAAGACAAGCTTTTTATCATTGGCGGGATTACGGGTCACGACAACTACGTTCTCGACGACATCTGCTACTTGGACCTGAAGACGTTCACTTGGTCAAGATCCTGGCGTTTTGTGGGCCGGTTCGATCATTCAGCATATATATGGGGTGAAAGGGTATGGGTATTCGGGGGTCTCAGCGAGGAGATGGACAAGGTTAGCGACATCTGGTGGCTAGATCTCAAGGGGAGTCCGGCATTCGATTCACCCCCGCAGATTGGCTCGATGGACCGCTCCGGTATGGCTCGAAGCGCCATTTCGCCAAGGCCCTCCTACCCTGCAGCACAATCTCCGATTGTCGGGTCGTCTGGGTATGCCGCAAACTCGAGGACTGCGCAAGTCAACCCTCCGTCGTTCCATCTCAAGACGTACGCGCCTCCTGCACCCGGTGCTGTTTCGGCTCTCAAGTTTGTCAACGGTCCGAACGTGCCATCGCAGGGACAGGGTATTCATTTCCATGTCTACTCGTCAGGTACCCTTCTGGACTTTGTTACGCCAGCGGCGACAATTTCGTCCAAGGAATGTTCCTTGTCTGCTCTCGATCTGGGGTCTCTCCGATGGCAGAAGTTGGCCGACGGCCGGGAGATATTCAAGCCCGGATATCGCTGGCACTATTGCACCATGAACGAAGATGGCACCAAGGCCTGGCTACTTGGGTGTCCCACGGAGCCGAATGTACTGGATCATGGAGGTACTGGCCTCGAGGAGTACTTGTCCGATATCATGGAAATTGATCTGCGCCGGTACGGGTTCTTGGGAAACAATTTTGCCCCTGAACCACGCGCGGACTTCACACGGCCATCTTCTCGAGCGCGTCATATCGAACAGCCGTCCAAAGGGCTAGGATGTGATCTCGCTAAACTCTTCGACCAGCCTCCCGAGACCGGAAGTGGCACGGATTTCATTGTCACAGCTCTTTCTCGCGAATACGATGAGGACGAGATCATAGGCTCTGCGCTCGTTCACACTTCCGACGCGATGGACGGTGATCAGACCTGGCTGTCGCCGGATGCGCCCACGTCTCCGCCAATTCACGTTCATCGACTGATTCTTCAGGCACGCTGGCCACACTTTGCACGCCTATGGTCGAGCCAAATGGCCGAATTTCACACGAAGAAGATGCATATCCCTGAGCCCTACAGTGTTGTCAAGGCATTCTTATACTATCTATATACGGACCGTATCGACCCGGGATCTGAAGAGGACGAGAGCATCACGGCCGACCTGTCAGACGTGGCCGGCCTTCTTGTCATGTCCAATATCTACAACATTCCACATCTTCGCCTCCTTTGCGTAAATAGATTGGCGAAGGAGCTTGACGTAGATCACGCATGTATCATCTGGTACTGCGCCGGCATGGCGAATGAAGAGTGGCTGCGGAAACGGGCTGCCACCTTCTGTATGACGCACTGGGGCAGGGTTGTACGCACGCTCGGTTTCCAGAGGCTTCCTCGGGCGGCTCTGGTGGAGCTCTCGCAGGAAGTTGATATGGAAGGCCGTGTGGTTGGCGGTGACGAGCTTGATTTGATGGTGGGGATCGATGGTCGTTACCACGACGGAGGGTCTGGCGCGTCACGGCGTAAGGGGAGCATTAGTAGCAACCATACGCAAGTGCTTGAAAGCGAGCTTGATGAAGACGAGGGCATGGAGATGTCATGAACAGCTAGGTTCCGCTTTCTGTCATGGCAGAGGATATCTTTTCACCTCGCCGTTATTCTCCTCATCATTAGATTTGTTCCATACACAAGCACGGACTGGAAAGAGTGGCTAGTTGGACAAGAGGGCGGGCCCTTAGCACGATGGGCATCGGCACTGAAGGGGTCGCAGGCCCGCTAGACGTGTTAGGTCCCTTGTCAGTACTTTGGGTTGAGGTATGACCGATGTGATGGATAGGATAGGTTGGGCAGACTTGGCTTTTCATGCGATGAGCTTCTCGGCCATCCTTTAGTAAGGAGGCATTCAGGAAAACTCAAAGGACTGGGGAAAGATGCTTACTATTCCACAGAAGCATTGCAAAGGCGTTGGCGTAATTGACGGGTATTTATTGTTAGCGTGCATGTAAGACTGGTCGTTTCTCCTTTCTGTCCTACGGCTAGTAGTGTCTATATTGGCAATCCGATCTATTATTCGGATATTCATACGCACTGATCTGAATTTGAGGTTGGCTTGTTGATTAGGTCTTGAAAGAGAACAGCATCGAGCGATTACAAAACAACCGACCTTGGTTGCAACCTGCCAGAATCATTGATATACCGCACCCCCCGAACTTGGAAGTTGGCGAGCTTGGTACGTTGACGTGCAAGCATTTCTCAATCCACCATGTTAAAGAACGATTATACTGCGTACATCCACGTTTTCCTTTATTACAGCTTACATCATGCTGATGTTCGTGGAGTGCAGACTGCAGAGTCGGAAAAGACGAGCACGATGCCCAGCATGGTCAGGTACCTACATAGTGTACATAAAGTCTCCATGCAGACAGTGTAACCCGCTGAAATGTTGCCGAGGTTCACAAGCCGTCCGAAAGCGATAAAAGCAACAGGAGTGGTCGCTCCCGGACTGACGTTCTCCACCTTTCCGCTGCTACGACATCGTCCCCTCCTGTCAATGCTCGATCCCCTCCCCATAGTGGTCTAGGAAAAGTCGACATTTTTATACCCGAAGGGCCCAAAAAGAAGTCGAGAATAAGACTACGACAAACTATCCTCTGATGCCACGCCCGCTGACTTTACTTATTGGCTTTGATCTACTCACATACACTCTCTCGCGCTCCCCTTCCCTGAACAAATCTACACGAGGAAGCCGCCAAATCGGGATCCCCAGCTAAGCCCAGCGCCCTCGCCACCGCGGCAACTCTTTGCCAGCCCAGGCGCCCAGCCAGCTCCCAGCAGCAAAGTGCAGCGGTCCTGACGCTTGTCGCATCGCACGCATTCTGTCCCATCGCTTAAGACTGACGACTGGACCATCCCTAACTAGGCGGCCACCAGTAAACCCCCCTTGTTTTCGTCTTCTCCCTTTACCGGTCCATCGAAGTCATTCCTCGAGCACTACCACCGGCCATCAACGGCGGAGGATCAGATAATCCACACACAATCGCCATGGCATCCCCTCCGAAACCGTGGGAAAGACAAGGCGCGACGTCTGGCGCATCGGGTATGTTTCTTTCCCGTTCACCATTCCATGTGCGCCCGACAAGCAGGGCACTGACATTGAATTCGCAATGACACAGCGCCCGCACCAGCAGCCTCTTCGGCCGCGACGCCATCACCAGAGTCAAACACGACAACAACAACATCAGGCTCAACCCCGGCCATCCCCGCGAGACCTGCCAGTCTGACCGCCTCCGTCAACCAAAATGCCGCCAACTACAGCAGACCAATGGGCGCGATGGGTACATCACCATACGGGGTCGGCGTAGGCTCGTACGGCACAACATACGGCTCTTCATACGGCTCGGCATACTCGTCGCCCTATTCCAGCCCCTATTCCAGGTATGGGGGTATGGGCGGATATGGCAGTTCAATGTACGGCGGTTACGGCGGGTCGATGTACGGCGGTGGCATGTACGGCGGCGGCGGCATGTATGGAGGAGGTATGGGTGGCATGCCGGGCGATCCCAACAACCCGGAAAGTTTGACCAACCGCTTCAACATGAGCACGATGGCCACATTCCAGATGCTGGAAGGCATTGTCGGCGCATTCGGAGGTTTTGCACAAATGCTTGAGAGCACCTATATGGCGACACACTCAAGTTTCTTTGGTAGGTTACATCATCCCACATGTCAGGCGCAACTGATTTACTAACATCAGCTCAGCCATGGTTGCTGTCGCAGAGCAGTTTGGCAACCTTCGCCAGACACTAGGCTCCATTCTGGGCATCTTCACTATTATGCGCTGGATTAGGACAGTGTTCGCCAAGATCACCGGCAAGCCTCTACCAGCCGATGTCTCCAGCCTCAATCCAGCCTCTTTTGCCATGTTTGATGGACGCGGGAAGGGCGGTGCTGCAGCGGCTGCCGGTGGTGCCGCCGGTGCCATGCCCAAGCCCAGCCGAAAGCCCCTCATCTTCTTCGTTCTCGCTGCCTTCGGTCTGCCCTACGTGATGAGCAGGGTGATCAAGTCGCTGGCCTCTAACGCTGAGGAAGAGGAAAAGAAGCGCCAGCTCGTTGTCGCGCAACAACAAACCATCGACCCGACCAAGCTCGAGTTCTGCCGCGTCCTGTACGACTTCTCGCCCGCCACGCAGGGGAATGGCGAGATCGTCCCGGGCGTAGACCTTGAAGTTCACAAGGGTGATCTGGTTGCCGTTCTCAGCAAGAGCGATCCTCTCGGCCAGCCTAGCGAGTGGTGGAAGTGTCGCGCCCGCGACGGAAGAATTGGCTATCTACCGGCCACCTTCCTCGAGGTACTTAAGAAGCCGGGTCAGCCCGTTGCAGCCATTTCTGGGGCCCCATCCATCAGCATTGACGGCGACACGAGGGCCAACTCGCTGAGCAGCATCCTCAGCGACGCGGATAAGAAAGTGCTGGTTCCGGCCCTACCAGCGGCCAAGGCTAGCGATATTAGCGTCGAGAGCTTCCAGAAGTCGCAGTTCTTTTCTTAGAGAGGCAAGGAACGCAGGCGGAATGATCTCAGCAAAATGCACATCGAGACGTCGCGGTTAATGCCACGCTCTTCTCGGCTTCGACACTCGGTCTCATTCTCTTAATACACGCCTGATCGTGCGAGCTCTGGATCTACCATGTGCAAAGCGCCGGCCTCCTGGGAGTGGCCCACCCAATGGCCAGCTAATCGGCTTTCCTCCCCCCAACACAACAATCAAACACAACAGCAAATCAAATCAAACTCGGATCCTCCTTAATTCGGACTCGCCCAGCCTGGTGGAAATGACCACACTTTCCTGCCAGGAAAAATCATCAAGCAGCTACGTAGAGGCACAGGAGAGCGCGGTGAGATAATCAGTCGGAGCATTTCCGGAAGTTTTGGAACTCGTCGGAAGGGTGTAGGACGTCACCAAACAAGCATGCATGCCCACAACGGTCAGTTACGGCATTATCATTATTAAGAGAATGACAAACACTCTCACATCTTTATACACCTGCATGACACGATTATTGCGTGGGTAGACGTCTTTTCACCAGAAGTCAATACCCGAGCGAGCCAAAAGGGAGATGTAGACACGGAGGACGGCCATGGTAAATGGATGAATGGATGGATGGATGGAGTAAGCGGAAGCGGCGAACGCTGAAAGACATGGACGCACGAGGTGTGAAATCGAAAGGGGGGATGAAGGGAGGTGATAGGCGATGTGAGGCGGTGACCACACCGATGACACAGGGATGGGAAGCGTGGCTAATTAGCCTAGTACACAGACAAAGGGGTGTTTGTCTGCTTGAGTCGGTTGTTCAGTCGTATACCTTGTAGCGAATATTTTGTTTTCGGATATATCCTAACCGTATCGTATGTACGTCTTCTTTCGTTATCGTCTCCTTCTCTTTTTTTTGTCTTTTCTTTTTCTTCTAGCTAATTTTGTTTTTAAGAAGAAAAGGAAAAGATGGAAAGAATCGGCAAATACGTGAACATTACAATTCGTAGAACGTTCCTTAATCAGACATGTATGATACACACACAGTATTTAGTAGAGGCATGAAATTAATTGTTAATGACCACTCATTCATCGTGTCTCGCATCTTCAACGATGCGCTTGGTGCCACAACACGTAAAAGTGTGACTGACGCAACCAAAATCAGTCGAAAGTGAAGTAATACTCACCAGAATTAGAAACGTTTTTCTACCACTTTTTCAGGCGCAACTCTGAGCAAAATTTGATTCTGCATTGCCTTTCGGTCAATGTACTGGTGTGGCAAATGAAGATAGCCCGGTACAATTGTATAACGATCAACACGGTGAAGATATTCACAAATTGATTCCCAACCACGCAACACACGTGGATGTACCATGTAACAACATTTGGATTGTTAGCCTGCTTCTCTTTTTTTTTTATTTTTTTTTATTTTTTTTTCTTCTTTCTTTTTTTTTTTCTTTCCCATGCACTGATTACTTTGGCTTCCACAAGTCATTTGTTTTCGTGGTTCATTCGAAAGAGGGGTGAATACCTCAATTTTTCATTTTAGTAATCGCCGAACCAGACTTTATGCTGCGGGCGTTTTTAACTTAGAGGAATGTACGGTAAGATAATGAAGAACAACGGAGAAACCCGTTTACAATAGATGGAATAGGCACGGATTTTTATACATGACGTCCATCCAGATCGGATCATGAAGCCAGAATGATCTGACGCTAACACAGTTGCCCCTATTCTCAATGTTCGGCTTGCACAGGTAAAGTTTTCTGTACAAGTGAGCAATCGATGACCATGATGTCCAGAGTACGAAACACCTCCTTGCAGAGATGGTCATCCCTTTACAGAGTAAGCTGTATAGACGTACAACTCGCTTCGTGTATGGACATAAGAACCAACCCAGTGTCTATCGCAGCGAACCGTTGTGATGATGTCTCCATTCGCGTGTTTTAGGGGTACAACAAGAGCTCAAAGTCCTTCTATCAAGGCGCATTTTTCTTCTTTTTTTTTATATATGAAAAATCCTTTTTTCTCATTTTTTCCAGATCACCAACGTTACTCGTGATCCGGCATGAATCTTCTGTTCCTGAAAGCCTTCTTATCTATACCTCTTTTGTACCCTTTTCCTGATTAACCGGTGGTGATATCGTTGACTTAACCTTCGGCCTCAATGTTCTCATACGCGTTGGACTTGTGCTTGGGCTGGAACTTGAAGTTGGGGGGAGCGGGGCCGAGGAACATTTCACTGTGTTATTTCAGACACTGTCAGTAAATCCCGGGAAACATAATCTTCAACCATTGAAGCAGAGAGCACGAGAAAAGCGAGACACTAACCTGATCTTGATCCAATCCAGATAATTCTTACTAGCCAACAACGTCTCCAGCTCGTTCCGGCCCTTGTACGCCGGCGGCCGATCGTTCATGGCAGGGGGCAAGTACTCGAGCAAGCCAATCGGCACATAACGATGGAAGAAGCTCAAGAACTCCAGCAAGAAGCGACGGGTGTAGTTCAAGCCCAGCTCATCGGATCCCCACGCCTCCATGCCGTACTTTGCAAACTTCTCCACATACGCCAGCCGCTCCGTGGCCGACTTATCCAAGTACTGGCCCGCGCTGATCTCCTCAAAGATCCACGGCTTGATGATTGCGCCGCGGCCGACCATGACCGAGTCCACCTTGGCGTTGTCCACGTGGTTAAAGTAATCCACGTGCGAGTAGCAGTCGCCATTGCCGACAAAGTACATGCGTCCGCCGTTGGGCAAGCTGCGCTCGTCGGCCTCTCGGATCGTGTCCTGAAGCGAATCGGCCTTCTCGTTGAACGACTTGACCAGCGCCGCGCATTCGGCGATGTAGCTCCAGTCCGCCGCTTTGGTGTACCGCTGCTGGCGCGTGCGGCCGTGCAGTGTCACGGCCGCACAACCCGGGGCACCGGAGACAGCGCGGATGTCTGGGGCGCCGAGCGCGAGGCGTTCGACTAATTTTTGGGCCGTCTGGTGGTTGTCGCGGACGCCCATGCGGATCTTGGCGGTCACGGGCACGTCGCCTGAGACGGTGTTCATGCCGCGGATCATGCGCTCGAGCTTGGACGGGGCGTCGAGGAGAGCGGAGCCGGCGCCGGACTTGTAGACCATGTCGATGGGACAGCCGCAGTTGAGATCGATGACGCGGAGGTGGGGGAGGTAGCGGGCGAGGGTCTCAGCCGACTTAATGGCGATCCAGGGAGCGTGGGCGGTGATTTGGACGCCAAACTTGAGATCCTTGGAGTTGTCGTACGCTGGGTCGACGATGCCAGTCGGGGTGTAGCGCGGAGGAGTGATTTCGCTTTCGTGGGCGCGCATCAAGGTCCAGTCGGCCTTTTGACCTTGAAGAAGAGGGAGGCCCAGGGCCATTTCCGAGTAGGTGATTTCGGCGCCCAGCTCGACGCAGAGACGGCGGAAAGGTAGGTTGCCTTGGGTGGTCAAAGGAGCGAGCACGGGGGTCTCGCGCCCAAAGTAGATCCTTCGCTTTTCTGAGGGCTTAAGGGGGGGCTCGACGTATTGGGCCGCATAGTCCTTGGCTACGTCGTCGTCGTCTTTCTGTTTGTGGTAGTGAATGCGGGCAAGCTCGGAGTCCTTGGCCATCCATTTCAGGTACTGGTCGGACTTTTCGTGCTGAATCTTTTTTCGCGATAGGGCGAGCTTAACAGCCGGGGCGACAACGTTATACACACCGGCCCTGGCATCCATCGACTCCTCCTCAGGCGGTACTAAAGAGGCAGCCTCGGGCTTTATCTTGGTAAGGTCCTCGGTGAGAACCAACTCCTTCCGGCCATCCTCGTGCTCAATCTCCTTCATGTGACTTTCAACGAAAAGGCAGCGCCAACCGGATGAACACTTGCCATGGGTCTCCCAAACGGGGCATTTGCCTCCAAAGACGTTGAGGTCAGGGCGGCGGCCCTCCTTCAGGTACTTGCGGATGTCGTGAAGAGCGTTGCAGCGTTCACCGTGCTTACAATGCCGAGGGGAAAACTCGGGCGTCCACGCAACAGAGTTGCACAGGCGCTGAGCATCGGCAAAGATTCCGAATTCACGCTCCTTGTTCTGACCCTTTGGCCTCTTCTTCTTTCCGTCCTTTCCGGTAGCTGCCTCAGCATCAGGAGCAGTCCTTCCCTCGGCAGCATCATCATCAACTACCTCGGCAGTTTTGGCGACTTGACTTGGGGGCACAACGAGATACCTAAGACAAGTAAGCTTGTATGAAAAGAGGCGATGATGAACAGGGAATAAAGTAGTAACCACTTACTCTTTCTTGATGGGAGCAATGCCCCTTCGCTTGTCCCTGTCATCTTGCCGTTGTTCCGTTGGCTTCTCATCTTCAGTTTGAGGTTGAGCTTGAGGCTGAGGCTGAGGTTGCGAGGGCTCTTCTTGTACCTGGGGGACGGGGGCATCGTCCAGCTTCACGCGCTTCGTCGCTGGCTCGGCGTCTTGAGCCGCAACAGCACCGTTAGGCTCGATGGGGCGCTTTGCAGTTTCTTGGGACTCCATTGTGATATTGAGAATGGAAGTGTACACCCAGACCCCAGTTCGGCGCAAGTCGTCAGGTTGAGTGCCGGATCGGGTGAGACTTCATAAGTTGGTTTGCCGGCCGGGACGTGAAATTTGCATCTCAGTTGCACCCCCGGGCCTGTTCTCGGGAAACCGTGACAGGTAGGTACCCACTCGTGCCGCTGCAGCCTGGAATTTGCCCTGGGGGGCCCGCAGCGGGGTTAGCGACCCATTAGATGCTTTTAGTGTCGAAGATTTGCTCTGCTTTTTCATAGAGTTGGCTCCAATCACAGCTTGCAATTCGGTTGGTTTGGGTTCAATACCTCGTGGGAGAGTTTGGGCAATGGTCTACTGCTTGCCCGTCGAATCAAGTTTGAACGAACACAGTAAGCTGTTGCAATCTTAGCAGCATGTTGCTAGTCTGATAGGGCTGAATGAAGCTTCCAGATCTGGACAGTCCCAATATTGTTGGAGAGTCCACAAAGTCCCGTTCAGTGTGTAACCCCACAGACCAGGCATCATCTCCAATGCGGCCTATCAACAATACACTACCGTGCCTGTGCCGAGCGACAACATTGCCCGATCAAGATCTCGCCCGGACTCTACATCGGATCTCTCAATCGACCGGCACTCCACACTGGACACGGGCCGCTGTGGTTCCAGATGGCTATGTACCAGTGCCGTAGTGTAGTAAATACAAACCATGCATCCAAAGTACGGGGCTCAGTTAGATAATCACGAACTAGATCGAGGGTTTACAGCATAGTACGCACAAGCAAATGAGTGATCTGGTACCAGAGATCGCATTCAGCCAACTTTCTTCGGCATGCCTTTGGAATTAGTCCTGAATCAGAAGGGAAACTCCCGTCCCGTCGGCAAGTGGGTAGCTGCCCCTGGGTACCTAGGTAGGTATGAATCCGGCAGAGCTGGATAACCTATGGGAAACTGCATGGCACTGAACTGCCCGAACCAATGCCCGTCAAATGGCACCCCGCCCGCCCACAGTGACCATTTTTATGCAAGGGGCCGCAGTACCTTAGTTTCAGTGTGGAGGGCTGAGAGGTCTTCCATGGCCGCCCAATTGCGGTATGGTTGAGCCCCGTCTCCAACGGGCAAACGGGCATCACAGTAACAACCCCCGAACCACCTCCTCACTGCCCTGCTTGGCTGTCTCTTGTCAACCAACCCAACATCAACTTCCCGTCTACCGTCACAACCAAAGTCCCTTCGCTCCCGGTACCTGATCGCCAACTACGCCCCGATCTCGCTCGCCTTATCGACGAATTGAGCTTGTGCCGCAGAGCATTGGCCAAACGCTACCGACACGCTACCGACACGGACATAGGGGACACCGAACACACGACATCGCGGTTTCGTCTCCTCATCCGCCGAGAACTCGCTCAATTGTTGCGCCGCGACATGCGCATATAAATCCACGATGGCTGACCAGGCCAGAACAGCAGGAGCAGGAGCAGGACGGGATAGGCCGCCTCCGCCCATACCGCAGCCGCCACTGAACACCGCTAATATGCTGCCTTCCCGCAAGATCGCACCCACCAACACTACTCCCACCGAGGGCAGGGGGCCCGCCTTTGATGACGAGGAGCTTCATGCTCGAGCCCCTCCCGTCCCCCGCTCCCAGGCACACACTCCCGGCCAGCTATCGACCCGGACCCAAATCCAAGACCGTCAGCGCAGACCCTCAGAGGTATCCAAGGCCTCAGAACTGTCTATTCGCCAGCGCTCGCTTTCAACGGCTGTAAATGTAGTGGCGAACGCAGCTTCGTCCTTGACTGTCTCCCAGCCCATCTATCCACACGCCGCCCCTCCCCACAAAGCAGCTACGCCGACGCCCTCTTCGACGGGCTACAGGCAGCCGAGCACTACCCAACCCGACAATCGAGATAGCACACATTCTTCCACGATAACCATAGGCACTGCGGCTACAAGAGAACGCAAGGACTCGTCTGCCGGCAGCGGTAGGGAGGCCTCATCCAGGCGTCCGGCCGGCATGCGGTCCACATCCGCCATCGCGAGTGGCCGTCCTGGTACCTCCTCGGCTGTTGCTCGTGCAAGCGGCACGCGCGGCGCTCGACCCGGTGCCCAAATGATACACCACGCTCCGTTCCCGCCACTGGTAGATCCCCGAACCGCCACCGACGTGCCCCCGGCGCCATCATCCGGCATGTACTGGAGCAAGGCGCCTATCTCAGGGGCATCACATACGGCGCTGCGTGCGCATACCACAACGCTCATTGGGTCCAACGTCTACGTCTTCGGCGGGTGCGACTCACGGACGTGCTTTAACTCGCTGTATGTGCTGGACGCCGACGCCTTCTACTGGTCAGCTCCCCAGGTGGTGGGCGACATCCCAGTGCCGCTGCGCGCCATGACGTGCACCGCCGTGGGCAAGAAGCTGATTGTCTTTGGCGGTGGCGACGGACCGAGTTACTACAACGACGTCTACGTGCTGGACACGGTCAACTTCCGGTGGTCTAAGCCCCTCATTCTCGGGAAGGACTTCCCCTCAAAACGGCGGGCACACACAGCCTGTCTCTACAAGAACGGCATCTACGTATTCGGCGGAGGCGACGGTGTCCGCGCGCTCAACGACATATGGCGGCTTGACGTGAGCGACATCAACAAAATGTCATGGAAACTAATATCAGAGGGGTCACCGGGGCCAGACGATCAGTCATCTTCGTCATCGGGAGGAAACGGGGCCGGAAGCGGCGGTGGGAAGGGCTCGGAGGCACGAGTATCAGGAACGACCACTAGCGGCGGCGATATCCGCCCTAAGGCACGCGGCTATCACACCGCCAACATGGTGGGCTCCAAGCTGATCATCTACGGTGGCTCCGACGGCGGTGAATGCTTCAATGACGTATGGGTCTACGACGTCGACACGCATGTGTGGAAGGCCGTCCAGATCCCCATTACGTATCGTCGGCTGTCGCACACGGCGACCATTGTCGGCTCGTATCTCTTCGTTATTGGCGGCCACGACGGAAACGAGTACTCCAACGAGGTCCTCCTCCTAAATCTTGTGACCATGTCGTGGGACAAGAGGCGGGTCTACGGCCTACCACCCAGCGGCAGGGGATATCACGGCGCGGTACTCTATGATAGTCGCCTGCTGGTCATTGGCGGGTTTGATGGTGCCGAGGTCTTTGGTGACGTCTGGCTTCTCGAGCTGGCTGTCCATGCTTATTATTCGCAGATCAGCCATTTCACGATTGAGGTTTAGACTTGGTGCTTGGCATTAAAGGGGTATTGGAAGGGTGTGGCTTCGTTTGTTAGCGCATTGCAGTTTTACAGTCCATAAGCAAAAGCATTTGAAGGTTAACCAGGTGCTTACAGTACATCCTTCTTCTGCTTCTAACGGGATTCTCTTATGTCAAATTCGGATGCGATTTTAACCTGTGTCAGAAACGGAGACAAGGAAGTTTATAGACTGGCCATCAGCATGGCCATACGCCATTGATGAAGGCTATTTGATTTCTCATTCCTTTGAGACACCAACTTCAAGCGTACCAATGTTGTTTCTCTACTTTTCTCGAACACAGACAACAGTCAAAGCGATATCCATTTTGCAACTAGCAGGCGGACTGTTAAGTGTAAAGCAACACATTCAATTTTCCATAAGTACACTACACATTAGACACAGGCAAGCTGTCGCATTCAATAGGAAATTCCCGATAAAACAGCCGTTATGATGTTCCGTGAAAAGAATGGCTTGTCCCACACTGTTTGGCTCAGTCAACTTTGTCTATCGATATCTAACCATCTACTACTGTAGAACACTGCCACGTCCGCTCTGCCGCTGAAGACGGATTAAGTCTAGTGGTTACCCGAAGAAACGACAACCCTTCTTTTTCTAGAAGCGTGGAACACGACCGACACCGATAATGATGTGAGATAGACCGAATAGGTAGCAGAAGTAAAAAAAAAAAAAAAAAAAAATTAAATTAAAAAAAAAAAAAAAAAAAAAAGACTAGCGTACTCCCACCTAGTCTAGACTTCTCAATTGAGAATTTAAGACCGAGCATTTAGAGATGATTCTACTTGGTAGCGTTACGCTCCATCGACATATGGCTCTTCCCCAACCAAGGTAAAGCAAGCAAGCAAGCAAGCAAGCAACCTTCCTGGACGCAAGGGGTTTATCTATCCCATCCCGCTCGCATCCTTAGTTTAGCACCTAAAATAGGTCTTTCCCGGTAATGGTATCTCTAATGAATAAATCAAAGCGGATAACGGGTAAGACGCTAACGCTACCTGAGAACCAGTGTATGAAATCCTACCTCTATAATGGTCTTTCTCTCTCGTTCCTTCACCCGTCTTCTCTTCGTCTCTCCTGGGTATAAGGGGGTATATGCCGGCAAAACCCCCTTCTTCTTTGTGAGATTCTTCGCCTTCTTCAACTTGCTACATTTTCCCTCCAGATCCGAGACCAAGAATACAGACATTCGCTGCCATATTCCCCTCTAGCTTTTAAAACTTTTCTCATTTTCCCAGACATCCATTTTTTTCCCCACACGTACTTCCCTTCACCAAAGCCATACAAAGCCTATAGAAAACCACTTGACTCTTTTTTTCTGTACACTCCTCTCTTCTCATGTACCGTGACAAATATTGGAAACAAACAAGAAAAAAAGAAAAAGAAAAAAGAACGCCACGCAAAATGCTGCTACTGAAAGGTGTAGTGTAAACCCGAGATGGAACTTTTCTGACCCTCCAAAACACAACAGTGAAGTCAAACATGAAAACCGGAGATGAGAGGCGTTTTCGTTAACCGATGCGTGACTTGTATGGCGGCCGCAACAGTAGACGGCAGTTGATCGGGAATCGGACACAGGGCTCCGCCATCAGACCTTTCCAAGACTTGGATCGGATGCCGTGTGGCCCCACAACGTCAAGCCGAGGACTCTGGGTATATTAAGCTTCACGTGAACTGCGACCCGGGACAACGCAAGGTCGTTTGTCGATCTTGGCCATGTCCAACTGCTTATCAAATGCGCTTTCGTCCTACAACATGACGTCTTCGTTGATGTTGGGCAGGTTTTGCTGGAAAGCGATGAGCGCAGCTGGGTTGGACATCATGGTCGAGATCAAATTCTGGTGCTGGGCTCTCATTTCAGGGTCGCACATGGGGGAATGTTGCTTGTGCTATCATTGAAACTGTGTAAGCATCACTGTGTATGTGACAATGACCTAAAGGTAGATATCGACTTACGTATTTGAGACCATTCAAGTTCTTGTAGCGCTTTCCGCAAACGTCGCATTTGAAGGGCTTCTCCTTCTCCATACCCAGGGTACCAGGGTAAGGCGTGCTCGTTTCCGGATTGACGATCGAGAAGGTGCCGTCGCCGTTCTCATGCAATTGCTGGGTCGAATGTCCGTGGGTCTTGTGGTACCTGGTTCGATTGTTAGTGGGACTTGGGGAAGGAATGCAGTTGGGGAAAGCGAAAGTATGGGGTTGATTGGCGTTGGTGGCCGACCAAAGAAAATTTCTGCAAAGGGCAAACAAATCGCACTTCAAAGGAGAAACACGTCGGGGTGAAAACTTACTTCAGACCATTCTGGTTCTTGTATGCCTTCTCGCATCCAATGACGGGACAGCGGAAAGGCTTGTGTTCTTCTGTCGGCGGCATCATGAGCGCAGTCATCTGCTGCAGAAGCAGAGCAGGGTCTGTACCAGGAGCAAGCTGATTCAGATCGAGATTCATCGACGCCAGATGCTGCTGCAACTGCTGCTGCATCTGCATTTGGGCATCGAACGCTCGTTGCTGGCTCGTCATCTGGGTCGTACCACCAGGGCTATACAGCCTCTTTGCAGGATCATCAATCGTGCCTAGAGCTCCGAAAGCCAAGTTTCCCGCCAGTCCTCCAAGCTGACCGCCGTTTAGATTCACACCGCCGATGTTCATCTTCATAGGCATTCCGGACATGTCATCACCATTGTCATCTTCCTGACCAAACTGTCCCCGCTGAGGTAGGCCTCCTTGTGTTGTCAGGGTTGGCGTGTTGACTGACGAAACGGTCGGGTTGTTCTGGAAACCAAAGCTGACAGCAGCAGGAGTTGGGGGTTGAGAAGTGCGCAAAGCCTGGTGCGGAAGCCCAGAGCTGTTGAGGTGTAGTTGAGGACGCTGCTGCTGCCCAAACAATTGCCGAGTTTGCTGGATTGTCCGCTGATTATCGTCCATCTCCATAGGTCCCACGGTCTCGTCAAGCTCCATCTCTCCGACAGTATCCATATCATCGTTCATATGTGACATGGAGGACATTTTCGACACAGCTGGAGCTACTTGTTGCTGCCGCATCATCTGTCCGATACCGCCAAGGCCCATTCCTGCGCCAGCAACACTCAAATGACGCTGACCTTGATATCCATTCATTGCCTGGGCTCCTGGCTGAGCTCTATTCGCTACAGGATTTGGAGTAGCACGACTGGCGGTCCCGCGTGCGTTCCCTTGGTTGGTGCCAAAGGTATTGAGATTCTGGTTGGAGGTGTTGGGTGCTGCGGTGGCATGGTGATTCTCCTCGTAATGTTGAAGGAGATCATGGAGAGTCGGCCAAGTCCTGTCGCAGCAGGTGAAATCGCGCATGAAGTTGGCCTCGAGTTTGGGGATATACGACGAAGAATGGAACGAGGGAGACTGGTGCGTTAAATACGGTGAAGTGCCTGTCATCATCATACTAACAACATCAAAACAGGTCAGCTTCGGTGTTAACAACCGACGGACAGTCCTCGGCGGCGATCCAGCTCCAGGATGCCCTAAGAACTCTGCTCCCGGACTCACGCCAAGGACACAAACAAGCACCTCCGAGTGCAGGGAACGGCGGCAACAACTTACTCTTCGCGAATAAAACTTCCAACAGAAATGCCACCCCAACTCATACCGTTACCCATGAGACTCCCCGCCATAAGACTGCCTGCTCTAAGACTGCCAGCCATACTTTCGCGACGGATGCGGTTGACGTGGTCGCGATTAGGGTTTGCCATGGAGATGGGTTTCGCGCCTGTGCCTAGGAAGGATTCCTGTCGACTGCGGCTCAAGGCCGAGTCGAAATGTTGACCGGCGGTCATGTCGACGTCAGGGTCGAAACCAAGGTCGGCGAGGCAAGGGCCTTGGTCCCAGTTGATATCGAGATCGTCGAGATCGTGGGTTGGGAAAGTGATGGGATTGCGGTCAGCCGGTGAGATGGATGCAGTGGACCGACGATGGGAGACCGCAATGTCAATGGGTTTCGAGGCAGTGGGTGGCGAAAGATCGGATCGAGGAAAGACGGAGTCGCGGGGGGTCAGCGGTTGGGGTGTCGGGGACGGCGACGGCGAGGATGGGTGAAGAAGGGAAGAGGGTGAATCGGATGTTGAGTCGGAAGGCGATGGGTTCCTGAACGCTGCGGAAACAGAGGAAGGCGATGCGCGATAACTATTATTTCCACCGGCCCCAACGGAGGGCCCCGCAGGCTCGGGACTGTTACTGGGGCTGGAGGTGGTTTTGGAACTAAACCACTTCAGGGAGCGCTTCATGGCTGGAGGCACTAGCAGCGACCGAATGTGGATAACAGTGCTGGGCCTCGGATGTCGAGGGGGGTGGTGGGCGGTAGGGATGGCGTCGTACAGTGAGTGTACTGGGTGCGCTAGACTAGGCCGCAACCTGGTTACGGCGTAATAGCAGGGGTGCGTGAAGCCGTGCCTTGTACCGTGTGATTATTATTAATGAAAGAAGGATGGCAAAGTGATGCTGCCAATCAATGAAGGAAAAGTCGGCACTCGCATGCGAGGGGAGTTGTCCCGAGAAACAAACGAAAACCAGAAGAGAGAACCGGGTTGAAGTGGTGGTGGGAAAAGGTATTAGAAAAGCCGGAAGATGGTCGAGCGAATGGTGATTCTTCACCCATGGACGGTGAAGGGATCTTGGGGCTCTTTTTCCAACGTTGAACCTGACTCTTGACCAGGACGGACCTCGAAGGTGCAGTGGTGTGGTGGGATCTGACAAGCGAGGTCGCCCCGCCCGTTGCAGCGGTCGCCGTTCCGCTTGGAAGGCTAACACGGTAACACAACTGACTTTTCCAGGGGTGCGGTGCCCTGTGGGTAGGTAGCCTGGGGGGCGGAGGATGTGCGTGATGCTACACTACCTCTACACAACCTCTACCAAGTGGCTCGTCGAGGATGCGCCAAAGTTTCCAACTCCCTCTTTGCTGGTTTGTTGTGACCGTGTCGTACGTCTAGATCAATGGCGTTGACCAGTTGAGACCAAATCAGGCCGACTTGCGTCGCGGCGTTCCTGTACTCCTACACCACCGAGTTGGGAAATCGACGCTGAGCGGAATGTGGTGGGGGATTCGCAGTCCGAAATAGTTCGAATGATATGACCGTCGCGCTCGGGGATGGAAACCAAGCCCCCAGTTTTTTCTTTTTTTCTTTTTACTGTTTACTTGAATGGTTAGTATACCGGTAGGCAGAGGACGTTTGGGTTTTGCGCGAGGGTAGAGCGTATTTCGTTGAGTCCGTATTGGGTATCGATTTCAAGAAATGGGAGGTACTGGGGCGACGGAACAATGACTCTGATGCGCATCACAAGTCGGCCGCCGCACTCTTCACCTCAGCTTCCCCTCGGTCTAACACGATAGGACAACCTACAAAAGTAGCACGACACGGAAATCTTTGCTACAACGTATCAGCCGAGAGTCCAACTCCCGACACGAAAAAAGAAAGAAAAAGAATAAAACTAATAAAGTCAACAAGAATAGTTATACATCGGTAGGTACCGTAGTGGTTTTCGTCTGACGAGTGTCGTAGTAGTAGATGTGTCGAAAGCAGGCAGAGAGGAGGGGAGAGGGGTCGCACAGCTAAACAGCTTGTTGTTATAAGAGCACGTACCGTCGCTTTTATGTAAGCCCTATGTAGCGGATGCCGTGCTGGTGTTTTTGATATAAAGTCAATTGGTTTCCAGTAACCGGTTGTAAAGGTCGTCGTATATCGAGGTTAAGATACGCACAGATATCCTGCAAGGTATGGGGAAGAAGCAGCCATCAAATAAGTGCGTTCCAGTCCGATAACCTGAGTCCTTCACGACACCTTCCAACCACAAACAACAAGCGGGTAGCAGGAAGGGGAAGGTATCTGATCGCTCCTGCCCCGAAACCACCTCTCCTTCTCCCCGAACCTAACACGGCATATGATGTGCCTCACATTTGCCTGTCTCCTTAGGTTGTCCACCTCATGACGGCAGGACGGGTGCGCGCAAGGCAAGCAAACGAGATGCGGTACCTGCTCTGGTTGCCACCATGTCTGTGGCTTACAACATCAAGACGTAAGGTTACCTACTTCTTCCGGTACATAGTCTCGACGGTCTCTTCGGTACAAGCAAGTATACGTATACGAATCGAGGATCCAATTGTCCTCGAAGCCCGCTTTTCTCGATGTCTGGGGGTGCCGGCCATTACGCTCCATAGTAGCGCACCGAATCAGCGTGCTTTCA